GTTGGGGCTTTCTTCTTTGTTTGGCGGCATTCTAAGGTGGAAGGACAAGGTCTCGAACCGGCATGCCAAGGAAGGGGTGTGCGGATGGACGTGGCCGCACTGGTGTGAAACGCAGAGGACGCAACCTCCGTTACATTGTTCGCGCCTCCCTATCCAGAAGGAGGTCTGTTGTTCCACCCACCATTGGTCGACACCCCACAGCAGTGAGGGTGTGTGTTTATATTATTAGCATCGACCGCGCTAACCGGCTGACCAATAAAAAGACGTCAGTCTCAGTGCGGTTGAAAACACAAAACACTTTCATCTGCCATGAACTGGGACCCCGTGAGGGGGCAGCATGGGGGAGGCTACACTATCCTTCGTACCAAAGACAGAAATAGCAGCGTGTGTGTGTGTGTGTTTTTTTGCCCATTAGACTATATATTATGGCGACAGTCCCCCCATTTTTCGTGGTGAGACGTGTACTACACTTTTCAGCGTATGTAGAGTACTACACTTTTCAGTGTATTTTTTGTACAACTACAACCATCCAGGGTCATGCATACAGGTGGGAGTTAAACACCAGGGCTTTTTTCTTCTTTTTATTTCTTTTCATGCCCCACCTTCCTCCTGCGGTGCGAGCTGAATTTTATTTTTATCGCGACAAGGGTCCAGCCGTCCCTTTCGCTCAACGGTGCTTACGTCGAAGTTCGGTACTCACGAGAGCTTTCCAGCTACATTTCAGCTATATTTCGCTTTCACCCGCAAATTTCGTAAAACTTTCATCCCATGGGGATTCGAACTCACGACCTCTGCGGCTAGCGGATTACGAGGATACCACTAGACCACCGGGGCGTCCGGTGTCATGTGTTACATTTGTACAGATAAAAGAGGCGGGTTCCGCGCTAAAGCTCAATATTTTTTGGGGGGGGTTCCGTGATTTCTCACCACGTACCCCCTAAGGTCCGAAATTTTTATGGCATGGTCCTATGATGAAGTTAGGGTGCTGTGCAAAATTTGAGGTCATAACTCGTTCGTCTTGCCCGGGTTTCAACCAATATTAGTATATTTCGGTGGCCAAGAATCCGTAACGCAGAACCCTGGGATGGCCGCAAAAACTCCCCGGGTTTGAAATTGACTCGGATGAAGCTGAAATTTTCCATTTAAGCTAATTTTGGGGCGGGGAACATGAATCCGGCGTCACATTTTGATGATTCTCATTTGGTGTATGGATTCTGGCGATTTTTAGCGTGATCATCTGACCGCCGCCGCCGTGAGAAAAAAACAGAGAAACAAAAACATGTTAGTGCCGGAAGGCACATGTTTACCCACAAAATATCCACACAATTCGAAAGACGCGTACCCTACACGACCCCCTCTTCACCCTCTTGAAGTTTTTTTCTGTATTTGTCCTCAAACTGTGTACCGGTAACCCTCTGCATCAAACAAACGCTGCTCTTNCGTTAGGGTGCTGTGCAAAATTTGAGGTCATAACTCGTTCGTCTTGCCCGAGTTTCAACCAATATTAATATATTTCGGTGGCTAAGAATCCGTAACGCAGAACCCGGGGATGGCCGCAAAAAATCCCCGGGTTTGAAATTGGCTCGGATGAAGCTGAAATTTTCCATCTAATCTAATTTTGGGGCGGGGAACACGAATCCGGCGTCAGATTTTGATGATTCTCATTTGGTGTATGGATTCTGGCGATTTTTAGCGTGATCATCTGACCGCCGCCGCCGTGAGAAAAAAACAGAGAAACAAAAACATGTTAGTGCCGGAAGGCGCATGTTCACCCACAAAATATCCCCACAATTCGAAAGACGCGTACCCTACACGACCCCCTCTTCACCCTCTTGAAGTTTTTTTATGTATTTTTCCTCAAACTGTGTACCGGTAACCCTCTGCATCAAACAAACGCTGCTCTTCTTGCGGAACTTGATTTCCATTTTTTCCTTTCGAGCATCGACCTCATCATCCGCTCCAACGGGATCTACCCCGGTATCCATGACAACCTTAACCTTCTCCTCCGCTCCAACGGGATCTACCCCGGTATCCATGACAACCTTCTCCTCGACTACGCTCAATTGGAGCTTCGGGACAAGAGCGGGGTACTTTGCGAACACGAAACACTTATCGTAATCACGCACTCGGCAGGCTGAGCAAAAACAGGACGATTGAGAGGTGTATACCTCGTGGTCGACGGTACGCTTCTCGACACTAACTGTCTCTACCCCCGACACAACTTCTTCCTCTTCCGATGATTCCCACCCCCCCTCCCGCTCCTTATACTCTCCATCCGCTCCATCCACAGCTGCCTCTGCTTCCGGCTCGGATTCTTCTNGAAGTTTTTTTATGTATTTTTCCTCAAACTGTGTACCGGTAACCCTCTGCATCAAATAAACGCTGCTCTTCTTGCGGAACTTGATTTCCATTTTTTCCTTTCGAGCATCGACCTCATCATCCGCTCCAACGGGATCTACCCCGGTATCCATGACAACCTTAACCTTCTCCTCCGCTCCAACGGGATCTACCCCGGTATCCACGACAACCTTCTCCTCGACTACGCTCAATTGGAGCTTCGGGACAAGAGCGGGGTACTTTGCGAACACGAAACACTTATCGTAATCAAGCACTCGGCAGGCTGAGCAAAAACAGGACGATTGAGAGGTGTACACCTCCTGGTCGACGGTACGCTTCTCGACACTAACTGTCTCTACCCCCGACACAACTTCTTCCTCTTCCGATGATTCCCCCCCCCCC